ATCCTTGCCTGCACTTGAGTGGGAGGCACAAGAGGTTAGCTGCTCTTCGGTTCTGAGGCAGATGCTAATGCCTTCCAATTTCCTTTCATTCAAAAGTGCTGGGCATGCTAAAGCATGGTACTCTGGGGTACTGTTCTCTGAGCCCCAACAAGGGAAAGGAGTCAGTCCTGAGACCACGAATGAAGGAGAATGAAGGAGAGAGTTTCTGGCCGGGGAAGCTTGCCCCCATGTCTGCCCCACGCTGACCTCTGCAGTCTCACCTCACCTTCTCTCCAGCCACACTGGCCTTTCGATTCTTCAAACATACCCACTCTGGCTGGCTCCAGAACTTTTGCTTGGAACACTTTCCTCAGCTCTTTCCCTTTTCCCCCTTCCTTCCAACCCCTCAGGTAAACTTCGGTTTCACCTTAAATGTTAGCTTTTCCTTGACCCCTGACTGAGGTTTGGTCCCCACAGGACCCTGTAATTCCCTCCAAGCCACTTTGAATAGCTATAGTCATTTGATTATTTACTTATAAGTATCTGTTTGATGTCTTGTTCTCTGCTAGACTGTAAACTTCATGATGGCAGGAACCATAGTTGTTCCAGTTACTCTTGCTCTCAGATCTAGGAGTGCCACACAGTGCCTGCACACATCAGGAACTTCTCAAGTACTGTACTTGGATGTGTGGTAGGAAATAAAATGGATTTGTTTAGGTGGAGCCTCGAACCCCAGGTTAGACTTGATAGGGCTGGCAGCATTTGATTGCATTTGAGCTATGGAACCACTTGTCAGAGGTCCCTCTGGAAGACACTTACTGGATTGGTTGGGGTGGGACAGAATAGGAGGGAGATCCAGTAATTAATTACTGGACAAATCTTTATTGAGTACCCACTGTGCCAGGCACAGTACTAGGCATTGGTGATACCACAATGAGCAAAACTGGAGGTGTCCCTCTACTGGGGAGCTTATGGCTACGACAGCAGAATGCATGAAAAAGAGAGTCCCTTTAAAGCTTTTCAGTTTCAAAAGCCATCTCTACAGGGACTAGAAAGGATTCGGGACAATTGATTTTGCAGTAAACAGGGAGACTTGGGGGAGAGGGATGTATGCATGCGTATTGGTGGGTTGCTGAGGAAGGAACTCTATGCCTTGCTCCCCCAGGCCAAGGCTGGTGTTGCTGCTTGGGAAGCACAGGGACAATTCTCCAAAACTGAAATTCAAGGTGGGAAGAACCTTGAACTATCTGAGATTGTTTCTACCACTCAAATGGAAAGGGAGTTAAAAAAAAAAAAATCAATTTGTCATAGAAAAATAAGTTACATTTCTTGCCCAGGAAAGGTTGCAACCTGATACTGGTAATCCCACAAATCAGAAACGATCTGATCTCACAAGCAAATGTAAAGTTGACTGTTAGAAAAGCTGGAAAGTGAGGTTCAGGATGCTACCAGAGCCTGTTGTGGAATAAAGACTCCTAGCTGAGAGGCAGGAAGTGATAAGGGCCCAGATAAAGATGGATGAATCTGAGAAACATTTGTTGGGAAGAAACAACTGGGTGGTGACAGATTGGGAGCCACTTGAGTGTGTAGTCTGAGAAGGCGGCAGAATTAGAAGACTGACTCAGGGGGCGGGTGAAGAGTTACATTTCAGAGGGTTCAGTTTGAGGAAGGGGTTTTAACCTCAAAGGGGAACTGTCCTATGGCAGCTAATGGTGGTGATAAAAACAGTCTGACAGCAACTTGGATTTAAAAAAAAAGTTCACTCTTGTTACTTCCTTGAAACTTCACACCAACTGTGAAGTGGTATTTTTAGGTACTTTATAGTTTTGAAAGTCAAGCAACTAAGGTCCAGAGAAAAGAAGTGACGTGCCCGGGATCACAAAGCAGGCAAGGGATCACTTCATCCAAATCCCTGGTCGGTCCCCTTCACAATGCTGCCTTTGTGATAGAAATGGGGTGTGGGGGGTGGTTCCCTTCCTTCTCTAAAATTCTGAGCTAACACTTGGGAACCATCTGCAGACTTCAGGTGTGGATTTGCTCTCTGAGGGAGCAGACGCATTTTCCCAGCGTTGCGTGCCTTTAACCGTTCCTCTTACACCTTTTCCCTTTGTGCCTTTTGAGCGCGAAAAGTTTTTCAAAAGACCAGGTACTCTGGAGCGCCCCGTTAGAACTACATTTCCCACAAAGCCCCAGGAGGGTAATTTGTAGCCCGAGAACTACATCGCCCCAAATGCCGAGCGGTTGAAGGGGCGGATTAGCTTCGACCCCGATTTTAAAGATCTAGTTTACCCGCTCTACAGCCCAGATATAGTCACTTATTTCCCCTTTCCTGCCGGAGACTTCGGTTCCCAGCGGGAACTTCCGATCCCATTCTTCCCTGGATGGAACGCTGGAGAAAAAAGAAATGTCGCGGCTGAGGCAGAGCGCATGCGCATGCGGACCCGCTCCGTCTGGGAGCCATGCCGGCAGTCTCCGAGCACATCCCGCCTTGCGCACGCGCAGACGATAAACCAACGCCCCGGAGTTGAGGCGCGGGTTTGGTGGCGCGTTTTAGTGAAGTCGCACGTGAAGGATAGCGGCGGCCGGAGCCGGTGAGTGCAGACCGAGACCGGGACTGGCGGGCAACACGCAGCACGGGGAGGCGGCAGCCGCTGAAGGCCAGGCCGGGACGGAGCCGTGAGGCTGGGGGAGCCCGAGTGGGGAGGGGTCCAACGTCGAGTGGCGGGCGAAACATACTGGGGACCCGGATCCTCGTTGCTATGCAACCAGGGGCGTCGTTACTAGGTCATCCGGGAAGCGCGCATTTCCGTGGAGAAGTGTTGGAGCGCCGTAGGGTGAGTCCAGTGGAAGCTCAGCGGCTGTCAGACTAGGGGACGAGGCCAGCGCCCCCTCGCCCCCGACCCCCGTCTCACGGCCCAGCCTCCTGCAGCCTCAGTTTGAGTCCCTCGGGGTACCCCGAACTCCGTGGGTCGCAGCACCTCTTTTGCCAGCGACGCCACCCTACAGCTCTTGGCAGAGGACGCACTGTTCGAAATAGCACATGCCACTGACACCCTGTCTCCGGGAGGTTGGGCCCTGGGAGGGCGCGGTGCGGCTGCCCCTTTGCCATTGCCCTGCCCCCCAAACAGTTGCTGGGTAGCAGCTGTCGGGTTTAGCGGGGGTTGCCCCGACCTGCCAGTCAGTCCTCTGACTTCATTCTCCGCGGTAGCTGCCTCGTCCTGTTTAGGATCTTCATTTCGACTCAGCCGTGCTTCTCAGTGGCTGCTGTATTTGGATCAACTGTTAAAATAACCTCCCTCCTCACCTCTCCATGTCTCTCCATTTCTACGCTCGCCACTTCTTGACGGATCTTCTAATATTCATTTGACAAGCATTTATTAGTCATCTCTCTGTGCTAGTCTCTGGGGATTCCAAGAAAAGTTAGATGTCAAGTCTGACCAGGAGGCTCTCAGTCTAATGGGGGAGGCAGGCTGATAAACTGCCAGGTTATGCACAGTGTAGTGAGTGGTATAGTAGCAATTTGTGTGCTGCAAGTATTTCTATAGGTGTTTACGAAGTCCTTGCAGCAACATCTTAACTCTTTGCAGCAACCTTTAATCTGGCTTGGCTTCACCCCGTTTTTCATTTGAGGAGAATGAAACGCAGACAGGTTAACTAACAGGCATAAAGGTAGTGGCTTCTTCTAGTTTATGGCACAGTTGAGCCTGCGAGGGAAGTCTGGGGTTCTTTGTACAGTGCTACACTTTTGAGGCTTTTCCCTGTGCTGCTGATCATCTGTAGCAGCTGTCTGGTTATGCATCAGAAATTCCTGGGGAGCTTTACAAACAAAAGGCTGAGCCCCTCTGTGGAAGAGTCTAAGTGGCTCTGGGTGGGGCACACATCCTTGTTTAACAGGCTGCACAGGGAGTTCCGATGGGCAGCGAGTTGAGAACCGCTACTCCATAGGGGCAGCTATGAGCAGTGATGGAACAGTCAGGTCCGGCAGAGGGCACTAAGTCAGCTGCCCCTCCTGCCACATAGTGATTCATAGCATGAAAGGAAACTAACCAAAGGAAAGAGAAGAGGAGGAAGCAGCCTTGGCAGGAGGTGTGTGAACTGCTCCACCCTAGCCCTGTAGCAAACCATAGCTAAACATGCAGTAGTACCTTCTCACTATCATGATAAGTAAAGTAGTTTCCCCAGCCCACTTGGCTTCTCTTGACCCCATCTGAGCCATATTGCAGTTGCCTGGATGGAAGTGGCAGGTCTTGTCCCCCATCTTTTGCTATCTTCTCATACCTCTTGATACAAACCCGTGACCTGTAAGCCTGGCAGGTGTGTCATCTCCTAGTATGTGGTGTCCTCATGGGAGTCTGCATGTCCTCCCACTTTGAGCTTGTTGATGTTTGGCAGAACTTTAAGCTCCTCGAGGGCAGGAACCATGTCTTCCGTAGGCAGTGTGGGGGTGTGGGACAAGCAAAAGGGCAAGATTGAGATCCTAGGTTCTGCAGTCAAGTCCCCAGTTCTGCTCTGTGATCTTGGATAAGTCACTTGACTCTCTAAGCCATACTTTTCGTAGTGAAATGGGAAGAGTAATAATACCTTGAAAGGTTGTTTTAAGAGTGAAATGAGATGGTAAAGTAACAAGCACTTTGTAAATTATAAAGCACCGCACAAAATTATAATTTATATGTATTATTATTATTTGTCGTAGTTGTTGTTGTTGCGTGCCTGCCATTTGTCTGAAGCCAGGCATTGCAGGAGGTGAAAAGGTTTAAGATATGCTTCCTCCTCTCAGAGGTTGAGACTGCTTCAGCTCTTGAGTACCATGGCCTTTCTTTATTGAAAGTGTTTGATTAGGCTGAAGTGAGGAGGCATGATGACAGTGAGCTCACACTGCTTAGGATTAACTTGGAAGAAATGAGAAGGAATCCTGTTAAAACAATTTGAAAGAATGAACCAAGCAGCCAGTCATCCGCACTCATTATTTCTAAAGGGTGCGCTCCAAAATCCTGTTAGATTTGGTTTCTGGTACACTTCGGAAGGTCAGCTTGCATGGTGGTGGCAGCTTCACTGTGGAGGGTTTTCTTCAAGGTCCCCCAGCTCCCCTCAACTGAGGCAGGTGGCCACTTGAAAGTTGAGGCTGGCACAGAGCACAGCAGGCTGCCGTAGGGTGAGCAGCTCACAGCACCCTGACCTTCTAGAGTGGAGGAGACGACATCTGATCCCCCCTGGTGGAGGTCGTTGGATACAGGATCCAACCCAAGATAGCAACCCTGCTCTTTAAGTCCCCAACGTGGTTATGACCCACATAGCTTGGGAACTGACCTACGCTGTCCTCATCTCTGACCACTGGCAGGCAGGAGCCATCTGGTTCTTAATTTGTGCCAAAAAGAGTAGAAGGCTTTCCCAGTCTGAGGTACTTCCACATGAATTGTGCATTTTGCAGCCCTGCTTGACCCTTCAGGCCTCAGGAGGGGCTTAGAGCAGCTGTTTCTGGGCCAGAAAGTACCCCAAATGTAGTATTTTTAGAACTCTTTCTTTGACCCTCCTCCTTCCCACTAAGCAAGAATGGAAACATCCTTCTCTTCCCTCTCCTTCATCTCGATGGCAGTGAATTTCTGGCCAACTCCCTGAGTGCCGAGGTAACTGCAAAACTTCAAAAATCTAGCTGTTCTTACCTCAGGGGCATGGCTTAGCCTCTGATCATCAGGTTTGAATCATAGAAACTCCCTGGAGCTACGGGTTCATTTCGGAGCCTGGAGAACAGGGGATTTGCTGGTGCTGTTTGACATTTCTCCGGCATGGAGGCAAGTAAAAGGTGGACTTGCGTACATTTTCCTTGGCTCATCCTCACCTGCTTTATGAGTTGGTACTTGTTGGATCTTAACTTGTCTGTGGCATCATGTTACAGAAAAGATCAGAGCACAAGGCGGTTAGGTGAATTTCACCAGTAATTCACTGAGATGATTGGTGGATGCCAAGTTTATTTTAGCTCTTGAATAATCCATTGTTTGACTTTCTAAATCACTTCTGAGACTTAGTTGGACACAACAGAGCAGAGTGGTTATATGCGAGGGGGTCCAGCGTCAGATGCACCTGGATTCAAATCCTGGTTTCCCCACTTACTACTTAACTTTCCTTAATTTATTTATCAGTAAAATAGGGAATAATAGCCATACCTGTCTGATGGGAGGTTGTGAGGGTTAAATGAGATAGGTGGTGCGTGGCAAGACCTATTAATAGTTAAATGTTAGCTTTTTATTAGTAACTATATCTTTCCTTGAGGGTTGTTCTTTAAGCCTTTGCCTACTGTCTTAGTCCATTTTCTGCTGCTATAACAATACCACAGACTGGGTAATTTATAATGGACAGAAATTTATTAGGCTCATGGTTCTGGAGGCTGGGAAATCTAAGAGCGTGGTGC